CTTATTGACCAGGGGGGGTCCCTGTGGGTCTGGGAGTGTCCCTGTGGGTCTGTGTGTATCTGGGGGGGTCTGGGGGGTCCCTGAGGATTTGGGGTCCCCCCTGTGACCCCCCCGTGCCCCCCCCAGGCCATCCTGCACCAGGAGGGGCACATGGACGACGCCCTGACCCTCACCCGCTCCCAGCACCAGGAGTCGCAGGCGGCGCGGATGGTTTTCAGCACCACGGGGCTCTACGGGGCCTTCATCAGGTCTGGGGGGGTCTGGGGGGATTCCTGAGGGGTCCTGGGGGTCTGTGGGTGATGTGGGGGGTCCCTGGGGGTCCGTGGATGTCCCTGGGGTTCTGTGGGGGTCCCTGGGGGTCCGTGGTGGTCTGACCCCCCCCGTGCCCCCCCAGGAGCCTGGCTATATATGGGATATCTTATCTGGGATGTGAGGGGTCTGTGAGGAACGAGGGGGGTCCCTGGGAGTCCCTGGGGGTCTCTGGGGGTCTCTGGGGTTCCGTGGGGGTTCCTGGGGTTCCGTGGTGGTCTGACCCCCCCGTGCCCCTCCCCAGGAGCCTGGACAGCCTGCAGGGCCGCCCCCGGGGGTCTCCTCCCCCCTCGCTGCCCATCGCGGGGATGATCCTGAGCCTGCGGGACCTCATCGGGTACCTGGAGCCGCCTCCCCCCGAGCTGCGGCACGAGCAGCGCCAGGGGCGGCTGCGGGCACTGCGGGGCCGCCAGAGCCTCTTCCAGCAGGAGGTGAGACCCCCGGGACCACCCCCACATAGCAGGGACCCCCGGGATCACCCCCAGACAGGAGGGACCCCTGGGATCGCCCCCAGACAGGAGGGACCCCCGGGATCACCCCCAGACAGGAGGGACCCCCGGGATTGCCCCACAAAGGAGGGGACCCCCTGGGATTGCCCCCACAAAGGAGGGACCCCCGGGACCACCCCCACATAGCAGGGACCCCCGGGACTGCCCCCAGACAGGAGGGGACCCCTGGGTACACCCCCATAGCTGGGGGGACCCCTGGGACCACCCCCACATAGCAGGGACCCCCGGGACCACCCCTAGACAGGAGAGACCCCTGGGATCACCCCCAGACAGGAGGGACCCCCGGGATTGCCCCCACAAAGGAGGGATCCCCGGGACCACCCCCAGACAGGAGGGACCCCTGGGGACGCCCCCATAGCTGGGGGGACCCCTGGGACTGCTCCACATAGGAGGGGAGCCCCGGGACCACCCCCACAAAGGAGGGACCCCTGGGACTGCCCTACGCAGGAGGGGACCCCCGAGTACACCCCCATAAAGGGGAGGACCCTGGGACTGCCCCCAAATCCGGGGGGTCATGGGGGGGTCCTGGGGATTGGTGGGGTCACAGGGAGGGAGGGGTGGGGGGGGCTCTGATGTGCCTCCCGTGTCCCAGGGGGTGCTGACACTGGTCCCAGTTTGGAGATGCCAGTTTAGGGGTCCTGAGGATGTCCTGGTGGTCTGGGGGGGTCTTTGACGTGCCCCCCCCGTGTCCCAGAGGATGCTGACACCGGTCCCAGTTTGGGGGTCCCGGATGGGGCTCAT